ACATTTCGTTGGGAAGCGAACGGCGACTACGAACGTTTTTTTCCCTTGCGGTCGTCTGCAACCGAATCGAGACCGAGCCGCAACCGAACCACAACGGCAGTGTTAGGTTATTTCTGGACAGTACTGTATATAATAAGAGACAAACAATGAATATTCAAAGTTCATCTCGGGAAAACCTTCTTGACTTTTATTCTGAGTAACAGCTGGCAATGCAACTCGTCCACATAACTTCAACTGCGTCACAATCGATTGCTAAACATCTCATACAAGGCTACTGATGAGTTAAACTTTGTAGAAAACCCAAGATCACTTCTATCAATATCTACTGCTGTTTCTCTAACATGATGCATTTCGTTATTGTGATTGACATAGAGCATGACAACCTTAATCAGCTAAATGCCCTTAAAAATTAATGAGAAAGTCAAACAACACGTCTAAACATTATGTCTTTATTCTGAATACGTGTGCTCATAATGTTAACAATCTGTTCAAGCATGTCACTCTGCTTTCTGCCTTCTGCCTTGTCAAGCACGAAGCGTGTGCATGAGTTATGCGACACCCAGATTTTAAGACGTAGTCAAACGTGAAGTTTGTCGCACGAGCGTCGGTAAAAAATTGAGTATAACTTTGCTAACCTTAGTTAATGGCAATAATAGACCTTTTTCATAATGACGTTAAACACGGAAAGTATGATGTTACACGAAGTTTGATTGGCTCGATAGTTTTTTGGAGGCAATGAAATTTCGTGTAACATCAGACTCTCAGCGTTTGACGTCATTATAAGTCTATTACACATGTCAAGTTGGTAAATCAGCTAAGTTAGTAATAAAACAAATTCTCAAAATTTCCACTCTAATGTATTTGTCTATACACTTCCCAAAATGACGAGATTACTATATATGCTATCTATATATCTACATACACTTAAAGTTTGGTGCCACAATCCCCTGTTAAAATAGATACGATACAAGTGCGCATAGAGTCCAATGACTGCATGATGCAAACTAAATTGAACGAATTGCATCTCTTCTTTCTTGTCTTATTCAGAGGACTGAATTACTCGGTTTCTCTTAGATCAGTGTGTTTACCCGCATTCAATTATAAACGCATTTCCACACGAATTATATCCCAATTATGTTCTCTAGACTTTGGTTAGGTTTTTACGACAAATAAAACTATGCCATACATATGGGATAATCATTTTCATCGGAATTAGCGTATTGAAATTCCAAAAGGTTTTTTCAATGTTTTTTGTGTTCTTCTAAGACACAACTTGACGAGAACACGGCATGCATGTATGATCAGCTGGAATAAGTCATTTAAGTGAGTTTATAATACTCGCAGCTAAGTATACATATGGCGTTATTAAATTATATAATTATTCACAAACTACTGAAGATGCTGTAATTATTGTTTTCATTTGCCGTTCAACGCACAGGTGCATATCGAAAATTTCAACTTTAACATCCTGATGTTGTGTTTACTTTGTTTTATACATTAGTCATTGGGAAGGCGAGTTTGAGCGCCTAATTTTGCAGAAATTTTAGTGCATATACTTCGTCATTCACTGGTATTCAACGGTCAAAAATGACAAACGCCACATCATTTGTTTCAGTTGCCAGCAGTGTTCTTATCATCTCAGTTGCTTTTAAATTCGTCGCGATGATTATTGGAGTATTGGGAAATGTCACAGTTATAATATACACAATTTTGTTGCGTAAAGAAAAGACAGCGACATCTTACTTGATAGCAAACTTGGCATTAGCGGATCTTCTCGTTTGTTTAACATTTTATCCACTATGGATCATCGAGTTGATTCAAACTGTATTAAACATTGAAAGTGATCAGAACTTGTTTTGTAAGTTAAGTCGTTCTACCATCTGGTCATTGTTGTTTGCTTCAGTGGCTACAATTCTCTTAATAACTGTTGATCGTTATCTTTCATCCAAAACCTCTGAAATATCCCATGATTGTGACACGTCGACGAGTATTTCTGGCTGTTTCAGGAGTCTGGTTTACTGCTTGTTGTATTTACGCAGTAGTTCATATTCACTCACGGAGTTTCGACAACAAATTCAGAAGTTCTTGTTTCATACCCGACAGCATTTATTATTCAGTACTATTCCCTCTCGGCTATATCCCACTTTCTCTAATATTGTTCTAAATTTCCAAATTTTACGTGTGTCACGGAATCAACGCAAACGAATCTTTGATGAATCAATGGTCGCAGGCTACAGCAACGACAATGAACAGCCAAGCAGGACAAGGGTTATAATTCGTTTATTTCAAGCATTTACAGAAGTGAAAACATTTTCTATTGTTATTATTGTTTTGACGATCTGTTGCTTTTTACCATCGGTTATCGGGACCGTATTGTTGAAATTTTGTGGTGGTTCATGTCGGCAGATTTGGTTTGTGGTTGTTAACTATGAAATTTATGGAATAAACTCGATCGTGAATGCTTTCATTTACGGAATAAGACATACGAAATACAGAAAAGCTTATGGACGTATTATTCTTAAAATACTTGACTGCAATTGCTGTTTGTAATGTCATTTTAATAAGTAAACATTTTATCATTTTGGTACTAAGAAAAAATATCTGCATATACGTAGCTGAAGATCCAGAATTGATAAAGCATTGCAGAGTAATATTTACTGATAATGTTTTGCCATGCATGCATATCAAACAGCGCCTCATTTTGACTAACATTCCTGGTAATAAAATAAACAAACTTAAAATATTTGAAACATTCTCTGGGGTACATAATTTTTTTATTTCCTTATCTTGCTTATCCCCAAAGTGCCTGCTTAAGGTATCGAAAGCCTGGTCTAGCCTTAATTCTTAAAGTGGATTTCCATTCAGTGCAAAATGTCGCGCGATCGACTGTTTCCGATCGCTTTCTTTTGAACTACAAACAGTCAAGCGGGACTAATCCAGTTAGATGAGCTTGAATAAACATGCACATTTCAAAAGAAATTGATCGCAAAAAATCGATCGCGCAACTTTTTGCACTGAATGGAAATCCGCTTTAAGGCTAGACTAGGTTCTGCTTGATGTCACCGACAGTCAGGAATGCATATGGCTACCGTGGTTAACCACTGATGAATCACAAGTTCGTGCTTTGTTATTTTGAACACATTTTCTTCGTCACTGGCGACAAAGAATAAATACATTATCGAACGTCGGTGACATATGCATGACAACCAGGCTTAATAAATAATTCAAATAAATAATTCAATAGCACGCATGGCTGAATGAACACTTTTAGGTTAAAAAAAGCTCTTCAGAAACTTCAAAATCGTAGAGATTTTACCAAACTCACTCAGAGGCCTCAACCTCCCCCCCCCCCAACGTCATGCATGACATAATAGCGAACAACTTCAATTCAATTTCTTTATCTGAATTCAGTGGCGGGTCTACGGGTGTGCAGAATAAATTAAACAGCTTAATTTTAAATTCAAAACACCTTACTGAACAACGTTAATTTTTGGTTATAGATCTTAAAAGAATATTTTTACATCAAAATCTTAAATCTGCCAATGCGATTCCGATTTTAACCTGTAGTAATTTATTCTGCACACCTCTATAGATCCACCACTGTCTGAATTTATAATTTGCTGGAAATGCAAGGACAAAAGGGACTGGGACTTACGTATCGTTGACGTGGTTGCTATCACTCGTGTTGGCTTAATGCATTTTTACAGCTAAAATCAATGTCAGTCATCGTTCCAGATAAATAAATTAAAATGTTAACTGAAAAAGACAATCACTGCAAACCAATGTGGATTAAACATTTCCGGGAAAAATGAGTATCCTGGCAGCGCCGCTACCTTTGATAGAACTTAGCTTTTCGCATATATTAGCATGCAGTTGTTGGGCTAGATATTAAAGCACCTTGGTAATGAAAATTTACTATATCTTATTTTAAAGCAACATTCAGTGTATTTCAAAATCCAACCGGTTTGGTTTATCGTGCTTCGTTGATAGGAGAAGAATCAGTAAATTTTCTCGAGCAACTAACTGAGCACATAATGAAGTAGAGGCCGTCCCCAAAGGCTCCATTTCATGAAAATGGCGTAGTATGTATATCTATATATGGTTGCGATTACGCCATTTCCACGGCATCTAGAATGTACTGCATGAGCTAGAGGACCTTGAACAAGTCATTCTGCAACTTTGGACCAGGTATAAGTATATGTTTGTTTAATGAATGTCCCGTTAAATCGCGCTCTCGCGTCAAAACACAAATCTTGCATGTCTTCGTTGTAGCCCAATCAGGACGAAAAATTGAAAAATAAGGAAAAGATACCATATAAGACGGCTTCTCAGGTAGATTTTCTTTCGAAGGATCTACTCGACAATGCCGACTGAAAGCCCAAGTTTGCGTTTATTTGAAATTCGCAAATATACAAACAAATCTGACACGCTTGTAAAGGCCTGTAAATGGCTCATCAGTGATTTGACAATGACTTGAAAACGGTCGAAATATCACCAGGGCCGATTGTACGAACTACTATCATGTCGATGAGCGCGCTATCCATCCTTCGTAGTACGATACGATTATGATTTTTTAATCGTTATAAAAATGCTCGAAAAGAGATAAAATTTCATATCTGAATTAAATTTCATATCAAAATTTCATATATAATTATAAAAGAAGATTCTCGATTTAGGAATATTAAGATTTAATCAAAGTTGTAGCAAAAAACGGGCGATTTTAAAGCGATTGAAAAATCACGGTGGACAGCGCTATCCGGCTTTCATACAACTAGCCAGAACTTTGCGTCTTTTGTGTGTTAAAGTTTAGTTGAATGTTTTATTGATAGAAGCGTCGGGTGAATAAGATTACGTAATGAATGAAATTTCAAGGAAATGGCATCCATTTCAAGGAAATTCGAGGATTTTAAATTCCAGAAATTAAAAATCAAAAAAAAATTTGAAATTGAATAGCATGCTGTGGAAACATTGTCTGCGACACGAACAGACACGAATGCATGATGGCCGAAGAAAAGGAGAACTTCCAGGAGGTCTCCTCAAATGCTATGAAGTTCGAGGACTTACATGAGTTTTCAAATATATTCGCTTCCGAATTTAATAACAACAGCATACACGACCGTGTACTATGTTTTGAAATCCTTGATTGCGAAGACTCTGTGAATGAGAAGGCTGAGACTTTACTTCCTTGCGATAGTGAAACAATACCAACCAATTGCAAACCAGTAGAACTGGAGACTCAAGTGGACAGCTCAGAATGCGGTGATCAAAGTGACGAGAAACGTAGGTTCACGACTCAACATCAGAATAGCTCATAGAAATTCTAAATATTGCACCATATTGCCTATTTTTTATGCCAGAGGCAGAGATAGCAATAACCGAATATTTCCGTCTGTGAAGTTATACCAAGGACAGGGGGGGGTAGCCAGGCAGCCGTTTGACCATATATTAATATTTTATAACCAAAGCTGCTCAAAAATTAGTTAGACTTCCCCCCTCAGGCTGGTATAGATTTGGTAATTATTAAAATCAGATGGGGATGAATCCTGACTGAATCCTAGTAATAAAAATTACCAGATCTGGCAACACTGCAGGGAGGGTTAAAGTTATTTTAAAAGTTTGATACAATACAAATTAATATGATAAATTATTATGTGAAAAATCACTAGCTGTTTTGCTCAATATGCCAGGATTGACTGGTCTGCAAGGCTAGAAATTAAACACCTATATATGGCTATTATACCAAAGGTTTTCCTGTGCTTTGAAATGGAAGGGTTTTTGTTTCCAAAACCAGTTTATTAAGAAACACAGAAGAAGCCTGGATTCATAAGGGGAATCATGGAACATTTTATATGTCGCATAAAACTGTTCTTCTACACTGACTGATAACTTCTATTTTTCATTCAGCACATATGGTCAGAGGCTTAGCTTGGGCGGGGTCCAGAGGTCCCAGCATCCCCTGGTAAAATTTTGGGCCCTTCTAAGAAAATGAAGTGAATCATTGTTAAGCTGTCAATAATGCAAAAAATCTGTGCATAATCTTGCCTATCGAATTGACAGAATGTTTAGCATGAACCTTGTCTTGAGTCATACTGCCACCCTGGCCCTACTTAGCTTCTTGCTCCTCCCCTCTCTTTTCCTCAAAATCCTAGCAATGTCTCTGCATACATGGTGGGAAATATACTAAGAATATTATAATAAAGAATGGTACCAAAAACATTAGCAATGTTCATTGTCCCAGGGATGAAGGAAAAATCAATCAGAAAGACAAACACCATGCATTCCAATCAAATATTCTTAACCCTTCCAAATTATTGTATGACAGTTACAGTTACATTTAATTTTACCAAACCCAATTTTTAAAATCATACAATAACCTTATATCTACTCATATTAATTATTAGCTTAAGTTATTTCACTATATAATTATGAACAGTACTCTGCTAGCTTATTTGCAGCACCACTGTAATTAGTGCTATATGACTAACAAATAACAATATTGCTGACAGTATGGCTAACAACTTTCTGAGAGAAACATGGAAGATATGGTGCATGAGATTCTCCAGGATGATCCAGAATTTTTATCTTTTTAATTGAAAAAATTAACCTTTCAAACTTTTCATGTGCCAAATCTAATGTTATAGAGCTAAAGGCTGTGTTTTAGTTTATTTACATTCAATTTAGCACATTAAGAGTTCAACATTTAAAACTGGCCTTAAACAAAGTAGGAGTCATCATTTCCTTTGTGCGCAACATTGGTCTCAAGCAAGGGAGGTGCATCATCTTCGGCAAACTTGATATATATATATATATATATATATATATATATATATATATATATATATTTATAACTTATTTTCCAGAAACATGCATTGATGAATCAAAGAAGAGTGTCAAGACAGCCATCGAGGAAATGTCACTCATGAGTGGCATGAAGAAAGGGCCAGATTATGCAAAGGAAGATTGTGAACGACCATGTAAAGAAGATGACAGTAAAATATCTGAGGCGTTTGAGGATGATCAAAAAAAAAAACTGATAATGGTAGTGCCATTGTTGAGGAAAAGATATTCCTGAAAAAATTATATGTTCACAGCCAGTGGCTAGCAGTTCAGAGTCCATATTTCAAGGCACTTTTCTATTCTGGCATGAAAGAAAGTTATACTAAAGACGTAGTAATGAAGGTCCATGAAAATGAAATCGAAGCTCATACAACTTTAATTGAAGCGATGTACACGCTTGATGTTCTCAATGGCAAAGACCTACGTCTTGTTGTGAAAACTTTTGTCCTTGCAAACAAGTATGATGTATCGTTTGTGGCTAAGAAATGCAAGTATGTTATGTTGTCATCAAGATTAGATATGGAGACGTGTGAATATATTCTTGAAGAAATAGAGAATCTGTCAAACACGGAAGATTTATTTAATATGATTGAGCAGTTCCTTGTGGAAGAATTTACCCCAATTGACAAGACGTGGACGATGGATAAGTTTTCGACATTGTCTGAGGCGTCCCTAAAGCTTCTTTTAAGCAGCGATAGCTTGGCCATACTCTCTGAAAACACAATATTTGTTGCATTGATGAAATGGGTTGACTTACATGTGCCGCGTTATGAACGCGATAAATGTGATCTGTTAAAGGTTGTGAGATTTCAGTTTATGTCTGTCGATTTTTTATATGATGTTGTACAGCATCATGTCGTGGCAAAACAAATGCGTGGATTTAACTCGTACGTTTGGAACGGTTTAGCATATCACGGATTTTCGCACATGCGACGAGAAAAACTCGAAGATAAACCAATAGAACGACCGATCTTACAAGAGAAGGATCCCACGTTTTCTTGGAAGGTCGATGAAGAACTTGACAAGAAGTTATCGAATTCTAGAGGAAAATCCAGTTATTCAACTATGTTTTGGTTTAAAGGATATAGCATGGAACTCGAGCTAGCTTATCTAAATGATTCCAAGCATTGTAGATTTTATCTTCGTGTCCTTCACATGAGGAAAGGTGCATATTTGAATCTCAGTTGCACAGCCAAATCAAATTTATTTGCTAATAGGTCAATTCAGATAAAACAATTATTCACCGACGAATCCAACGCTTGGGGATACCAAAGTTTGAAACGGAGTACGATTCCATTGGGAAAATTCTACACAATTGATGTCTGGATGAAGTCAGTTTAATAAAAAATGCTGATATTAATGTATTGAAATTGTTAATATTGAAATCCTTGACAATCTTGGATTCACCAAAATGAGAGCTGAATTTAGGAAAAATTGAAAATATTGGTCATTATACGTGAAGTCAAGTCTATATGTAAACAAACTATAGTTTATGTTCAGAAAAATTCGAAAAACGTGGACAATATTTATATCAGGGTCCTCACATTCTTATTCTGTGAAAAAAAATTGATTTATGTGATGTACTGCGTCTGCAATGTAAAAAGGAGATTTATACACGAGTGGCTAAGAAGAATATTTTCTCTTGCATGCATGCATGCTGGCAACGAAAACAAGAACAGAGAGAACAATGCACGAGTTTAATTAAAAAGGAGTTTAATTTAAAATGTCAAATGAATGCGTGTGAATATATTTAAACTTTAATTTATCCTAAAATACTAAATACATTTACATAGATCAATCGGGACAATGTTAAGAATGTTGGAACAAGTAATTTGTACTATCGACTGGTAGACTGTTTCAGTGGTGGATTTAGAGTTTGTCAATATAAATATAACATTTTTTACTTATTATATTTTTCACTCAAATTGGTCTTGACCGACTCTTGTTCGGCCTTATCGTATGCTGGTTGATCTGTGCTGGGGACGTGACCTGATGGTGTCCCTTTTTCTCTCGCACTTTTAATGTGAGATAGCTGATCATCAAAATATATGTGGGGAGTGATTGCTTTCAATATTTCACCCTTTGGTGCACCTGCCATGAGGAATGACTCATCAATATTTAATCCCCAGTGACGTAATGTCCTTAGAGCACGTTCGCCCACTTCTGTGTCACGTGATGTTACTAGAAATGTTCTGATTGGACAGTCCTGTTCGGAAGGTTCAAACTTCTTCTTCATCTTTCCCAAAGCCATAGCGAAAGGTTTTATAGGACCCTGTGAAAAATATATAATTTTCATGAAATTGGATTCTAATTGGCATTTCTATCACTACTTTAACTAAAAGAGGAAAAAGTATTTGTTTCCTTCATTAGCAATTTGTGTTTCGTAATTTAAAGAGATACGATTCTGTGAATGCCCTCAAACAACGAGGTAAAAGGCGTCAGGAACTGAAAAATAGTTGCTTTAACTAGAACAATAGACTTGTCTTTCTGAATAATTTGTTCTAATTTTCATGTTGAGGTTGCCCTTCCGGGTGTTTCTTTAATCTATTTTTCTAAATTTTTACTGCAATCAAAATAGTAACGAGTCTAACTGTAGACAGAGAAAGTTGTTTTTCTGCTTGTGTTACATTAACTAGAAACTGTACGAGGATCCTATCTCTTACATACTTCATCTAAAGGTTTTTCCTTATTCTTTTTTTCGTGCGCCAAAAATGCACCGAGGCCATGTTCTTTGTAAATTCTCTCAGATTCATCAGAGAACAACACAGCGTCAAGATCAAATGCGACACGAAGCTGAGTTTCACTTGCAGTATTAGTGACTTGAGTCGACATCACCGCCGAAGGAAAACCTGCAGGAACAACCAAATAAACCAATGTTATTGTAGTTGGCGTTTGCACTATTTTTGTCACTCTGAAATTAGTCCATATTGGCATAATTATAATAAAAAGAACATTACACGGTCACGGTATATATATAGACTTGTAATCACCTCGCCTTCGGCGACTAATGGTTCAGTAAATATGGAAGGTTCAGTCGTGAACATACAGTGAATACGATCGACCTAATATTCCTAACCTTGTCTAAGAGCTTCTTTCACATCTTTTTCGTCACATGTTAAAAATAACGTGATGTTGAAAGCTTCTAGATAATTAACTGGAGATGTTCCACCTGTTAGTGCCATACGTTGAATTTTCAGTTCTAAAATATACATTTTGCAATTTGTTTGGTGAATGACTACATGAATTGTTTAAACAAGACCCATAGCCCAATGTCGGAAATATATTTACTACCATGCATGCAAATAAGTTAAATGGTTTCTAAAATCATTTCATATATAAGGCATTTCTAATCTGATATACATAATTGTGTTCGTTCAATACACATGGTGTCTCAAAAAAGTATAATCTTCGAAAAAGTAAACCGTATAAGTAATATTGGAACATATTGTTTGGAATCACTGAAATAAAAAGCTCAGTCTTTGTACCGGAGTAATTTTCAATTGATTTCTGGAGCCGTATTCCAACTTGAGCACTATTCTTTGACATCAGCGTAACTGTAAATAACTCTTCCTCTGCAGGATTTCTTTTTCTCAAAGCATCATTGACATTCTTCAGAGCCTAAACACAAACATATTATTGGATTAAACCAATAGAGATGCAGTGGACCAGCGAATGGCTATACTTGGCCTGGTTTTCAACCAGCCTTGATGGCATTAGACTATATACGATTAGCAGGATGTTCTTCCATCGGAGCCGCAAAACTCGATGAAATGAAAACTGATATACGAACCTTGATAAAAGGAAAAGCAGATCCAGGCTCTAAAATTTCATTCTCTTTGCTCATTTGCATTTCGATATATTCATGCAAACCTTTGTCAACGAAGGTTTTATGCTCCTCGTCTAAACGAAACAGTGCTCTTGATGAGACGGCGATGTTTATAGTTTTTGTAGGATCTCGCCCCTGCAACGAAGTTTAAAAGGAAACTGATGAAAGGATCTTTTTCAACCCGAGCAACTGGTTGTATATAAAAGACTAGTTAACTTTCAATTGTAGTAACGGACAGACTTGCATGGCCAATCAAAGTCGCGTATTTCTTATGTAGTCAACTATGCAAATGTAGTAAACACAACCGGTCCCAGTAATCATGATATCCTATATATTATAATATATATTATATATATATATATATTATATATTATATATTATTATATATATATATATATATATATCCAAGTGTAATTGTTTGTAATGGATAAAAGAGTGCTCAATACTAATTACAAGTAGAGCGAATCATATATATATATATATACAGTAGGAGGCAAAAGTTTGAGTCCAGTGACTGTATTTCATTGTTATAGCAACATATATTAATATCCTACAGAAAACCTTACCGATAAGTGAACTAAAAAAAAGTAAATGAGTAAACAGAAAAATACATGCTGTACAACAACTATGAGATGTTATGATATTCATTTTACGTATGTTAATGTGCAAATATGCATTACATGTCAATGCTTAGTGTCCCTCTTTTTTGCTCTTGAAATGACCTTTATTCTTTCTGGCATAGACTCCATAGGTTTTTTAATGTCGCACGTTCAATACCTTGCCAGCATTCGTTGACCACTTGCCTCAAGTCATCCTGGCTGACGGGTCTGTGCCTCGCCCATTTCCGGTTAAAACGGTCCTATAAGTGCTCCATAGGTTTTAGATCTGGAATTTGAAGAGGAAAGCCATGAGAACGAGATCACCAAAACCAATTTGCTTCTAAAAGATTTCTGGCACATAAAAGATGTGCATGTGCTTAGGGGGATTGTCATGCAGTTAGACGCACGATCATCTTTGTACCAGACGAAATTCCATGTCCTTGAAGAATTGGATGATACTTTTCTTTAATTAGGATCCTATTATATCTTTCAATATTGCCAAACCGAGCATGACCGAAGCAGCTAAAAGTTTGCTTGAGTAGGATTTAGTTTCTTCGAACCTCTCCAAGGTTAGTTGCATACCACCTTTTTAAATTCTCCCTTTTTCTGCGATCTTACGAGGAAAGAATCCTTCAATACTTAATACAACTATTTGTCCTTGTGCACCATCACTTTGCTTTTTTCCCCACCCATCTTGGGCAGTGTAAAGGAATAAGAACTTTATTTTGTTATAATTTAGATCATTAGGACGAAAAAAGTGTGCAATTAATATGGTTTACAGTACTGAAACACTAGCGCGCATGTCTTAACTCGAAAACACTGCCAGGATTTAATACTGGAATTCTACAACGACTGGACTCAAACTTTTGCCTCCTACTGTATATATATATATATATATATTAATATTATATATATTATATTATATATTATATATTATATATATATATATATATATATATATATATTGGGGACATGTCGCAGTGCTCGGAAGCTATCGTCCAATTGGATAATGCTTTTCTATGCTTTCTAAAGAACGAAGCTATGCTATTGGTTGAAACAGAAATGTATTGTAATGTTCAGCCAATGAAAATCATTCTTGCGAGGAGCTGCGACATTAGCCATATATTGATACTCCATTGACTGCTTTTGTGGATTATACACAAAACTGAGTACAATTAACTTTAACATTAATTACATGTGTCTATCAGCTACACTGACAGTTTCTTGATTCGGAGTGGTTGGAACTTGTAATTGAACTTCATCAGATTCGTCATGTTTATCGTTTGTTTTCTTGTCATCAATCTATATAATGAAAATGATAATTAATTTCCTCTTTTCAAAAATATATAGCCAAAAAGCATCTTGGTCTTCGAAATAACAACTTGGCATTAATGTGGATTTATCATCGGTGATCGGCTGCCATGGCGTAACTAGAACTATGTCGGGCAGAACTGAATATATGAATATCTACCCCCCCCCTCCCCCTCTCTCGAAATTATACCAGCACTTTCTCCATTACAAGATAGAAAAAAGATAAATTCTGAAAGAAAATGGCACAAATAAATGCTAAAAGGCAACTTTAGGTGTTTCGACTGAGAAAGGTGTTTCCAGACGGTTTTAAGTAAACTATATGACGCAATATATATTTTGTTTTTAGTGTAATACGAATTCATGCATCTCGGTCTTTTCTTCCGAGCCAATTAGGTCCGACATTTAGTATATTTATAGAAAGGATTTTTTAAAACTTGTTATTATTCCAGTATTATAAATTATCCTTTTGGTTGCCGGAAAACAACGAGTACGTTCAATAACGTTGAAAACATATTTTGAGTGATGGGATTTTCACAGAAATTCCCGCGAAAAACAACAATGGCAAACATGGTCGAAGCAGTGAGTTCACTGCAGTGGTTAACTGGGTTAAAGCAGGGTTAAAGCAGGGTTGAAGCGGAAAAATCAACTTCGCTGAAATTATATACAGAAATGAACTTTAAAAAAATCATTTCAGAAAAAGTAGGATGAAGTACAGTATTAAAAGTCGTAACTGTCGTAAGTACAAGTTAAGGCACCTGATTGCCTCTTGAGCATATTAAATAGCTTTATTTTGCAGTCTTTAAACTCATTTGTGTATATATTCTTTAGTAATTGCACCAGTAAATTGTCTTTGCAACAATGAATTAACTGTGGGTTGGTAGCAAAAAATGGCACCATGGTAGCTTCAGTACAATGTTTAAAATTATTATATAGAAAGGGCTTATCTTCTGCCCCACTGCTGGTAGTGGTACAGTAAAGGCAAAAGAGGAAACCATCCTTTCTGCCACCAGTTCTTAGGCCTCTGTGGATAGCTCTACTGCATGCATACTTCTGAATTCTGATAGCACCTATTAACCTTGCAATTAAATACCACCACCTCCCCCTTGGGCCAGTTTTGCTATAAGACTGTTAAAACCAAAAAAATTAAATGGTGTACATGCACACAAATACATATGAATTTATAGCTCGTACTGAATAGTGACGTTTTACGAGTACTATTCTGACATCTGCATATTAATTATCAGTACTTAATACAGTGTAGATCAACAAGGGTGAAAAATGTTAGCCAATCAGTGCGTTTGTTTACATTTTTCGTTCTTGACCAATCAGAATGCGCGAAATTCAAAATATGTAAACAAAAGGAGTGGGAAAATAACACCATCTTCTAAGCCCTCCGTGCCATTCGATATTGAACTTTTCACTTCAAAACTAAAAAATTGTGACAAAGCGTGACTTTTTCTTTAATTTCCTCGTGGGGATTTTTTAAATTCGATCTACAGGGTGTCCCAAAAAAACGAAAACTATTGAAATCACCCATAACAATGCCATTGTTAGAGTTTGAATGCCTAAGCACTCTGTTGGGCCCACAAGTGTACAAATCGGGGTTGCCATAAGGATTTTTAGGCATGCATATGATGCAGTCAAATTTGCTTGTTCGCAAAAATGATATTTATCAACAATATTTACAATTTACAAATATGGATAACAATATTTAAATGTGCATCTCAAGGACCATGACCTTCGATATGTCCCCTATCTCTAGCAATACACAGCATTTAGCATTTTATAAGTTGCATTAAATCCCCACGGGCTGAAATTCGTCAGCACGGCATTCAAATTTTAACAATGAGTGATTTCAATAGTTTTCGTTTTTTTTGGGACACCCTGTACAACGCGAAATATTTATGTTTGAAGAACCGTGGGTCAACGTGCGTAAAATAGCAGACACCCTAATAGTCTGTCTTTAATACGCATATGAAATACTTTGTCAGACTCTATAAATTTTGCACTTTAAACGTATTTCCTTCCAGTAGACTGACTATTGTGTAGTAAAAACCCAATTCTGTGGTACACAGTAATACCTTTCTCGTCGGAAACGTCAGAGTTACAAGTGTAAGTGTAGTGGCTTCTTGGAAAAGGAAACTAAAGCAACGGAATGTCAGAGTCAGTCAGACCTTCGCCCAAGGGGTTATTTTCTCCAAGAAATTGTTTACTGTTGTTTAATTCTGTTTGTTTTCTGTATCATCGTCGTAGTCGTCGTCATCTTCAGGATCACTCTCTTCGTCGCTGCTTCGTCAACGCTGATATTTGCAGGAGAAAACACAGCGTTGTTTGCTGTCTTGCCAAGAGCTTCAACTTTTGCCAAAAACGTTGCTTGACAAATTGGGCAATGGCTAATGATAGGCAGAACACATTCAATGTGAAGCAAATGTCCACATCCACGGAAAGCACTCCAAATAAAGGGGGCTCATTTTTGTGCAGGTAAGCAAATCGCATTTTCTATGCTGGAAATATTTTGGAAGTACTTTTAAGGATTTATATATATTTATGTATGCACATGCTAACTCAGATTTGCTTAGCATGTTGCTGCTTCTTTTGAAATTAAAGATCTTTACAAGCATTGCATTACTGTTGGTGGCAGTATTCTCACTAAATGCAACTGTGTTCCTCTGAAACACCCCCCTCATTTGTTTTGCATTCTTTTTACCTGTATGGGTTTGGTAGGGTTTCCACTGATGTGTACCCTAGTGGAAGCAATTGATTGGTGATAATCTTCTCACCAAACAGGTTGAGAAGTTTCAACTTAGTGGTGTGTTTGGGTTGTCTTTGGGCTTGAGGTTGTTGAACTGCCATGTTGAGGTGAGTATAAAAAGGGATTCAAACTTGAGGGTGAGGAATTCAGCTGCCTTTGCTACTAATTTACTAATTTGTTTGGAACTGAAATTAAATTTCCTAGGTGGCACAACTACTGACTGGAAAGAATGCAGCTCATGCTTACAGGCATCAATTTCTTTGCTTTGAATGCAATTTTATCAGCTGTGTTGGTCACCTTGGCCCACTGACAAAATAAGAAACAGCCCTCCAGACTCCAGTGTTTGATACTGTACACCAAAACTTGGCCGCATTTGATCAATATCTAGTTGAGAACTTACACATTGTGTTAAGAAGGACCAAAATGCCTGTAAGCTGAGCTGCATTCCATCTATTCACTATTTGTGCCACCTAGGAAATTTAATTTCAGTTCGAAAAGAATTAGTAAATTAATAGCAAAGGCAGCTGAATTCCTCACCCTCAAGTTTGAATCCCTTTTTAGCCACCTCAACATGGCAGTTCAACAACCTCAAGCCCAAAGACAACCAAAACACACCACTAAGTGGAAACTTATCAACTTGTTTGATGAGAAGATTGTCACCAACCAATTACTTCCACTAGTGTTCACATCAGTGGAAACCCCACAAAACCCATACAGGTAAATAGAATACAAAATAAATGAGGGGGAACACAGTCGCATTTAGTGAAAATACTGCCACCAACAGTACTGCAATGCTTGTAAAGATCTTTATTTTCAAAAAAGGCAGCGACATATGCTAAGCAAATCTGAGTTTAATAGCATGTATATACATATATGCACATGCTTTTAAACTCAGATTTGCTTAATTAGCATGTCGCTTAGCATGTATATAATATCTATATATATAATATATATATTATATATATATATATTATATATATATATTATATATATACATAAATCTTTAAAAGACTACTTCAAAAATATTTTCAGCATAGAAAATGCGATTTGCCTACCTGCAAAAAAGTGAACCCCGTTTGGAATGTTTTCCGTGGATGTGGAACCCCTACATAATACATACATACATACATACATAAAATTTGTGTTCTGCCCACTGATCTAACATTAACCATTGCCCAGTTTGTCCAGCAACGTTGTTGGCAAAAGTTGAAGCTCTCGGCAAGACAGCAAACAACGCCGTGCTCGACGCTGTGTTTTCTCCTGCAATCAGCGTTGAAGAGGCGATCACAGCGACGAAGTGAGTCATCTTGAACATGATGACGACGATGATACAGAAAACAAACAGAATTAAACAACAGCAAACAATTTCTTGGAAAAAATAACCCCTTGGGTAAGGTCTGGCTGACTCTGACATTCCGTTGCTTTAGTTCCCTCTTCCAAGAAGCCAACCGGATGTGAGTCCAACCGGATGTGATATTTAATAACACTACACTTGTAACTCTGACGTTTCCGACGAGAAAGGTATTACTGTGTACCACAGAATAGGGTTTTTACTACACAATAGTCAGTCTACTGGAAGGAAATACGTTTAAAGTGCAAAATTTATAGAGTCTGACAAAGTATTTCATATGCGTATTAAAGACAGACTATTAGGGTGTCTGCTATTTTACGCGCGTTGACCCACGGTTCTTCAAACATAAATATTTCGCGTTGTGGATCGAATTTAAAAAATCCCCACGAGGAAATTAAAGAAAAAGTCACGCTTTGTCACAATTTGTTAGTTTTGAAGTGAAAAGTTCAATATCGAATGGCACGGAGGGCTTAGAAGATGGTGTTATTTTCCCACTCCTTTTGTTTACATATTTTGAATTTCGCGCATTCTGATTGGTCAAGAACGAAAAATGTAAACAAACGCACTGATTGGCTAACATTTTTCACCCTTGTTGTGTAGATCTACAACATAGTACAAGAAGTCTGTTAATTTATTCAAATAAACAGAGCTATTCATATGTCTCTATCTGGGATTTCATGGCCTCATAGCTCTGGTGGTGATAACCACTCAGGATGTCTGCAATATTATTGCAATAAGTGAAAGATTAACATATGGGTGTTGAGGCAGTGGATCAAAATCATACCTGATAATGAAGTTGACTTTTAGGTGGCTAATTTTGTCAAAAAAATAAAAAAAATGTAACACCTAACTAAATTTGTGATTTGATAGTCACAATCATAATGTAATTTAATCCCAACTACTCAAAATTATGATTGTAATCATAATTTCATAATTATAATCATAAAAATTAAAAAGTCCTTAATTTAATTTGGTAATCATAGCTAACACTCAATATGGAGGAATATACAGTTGTTTGTTGTTATATCTTCTTTTTACCAAGCTGATCGAAAAGTGCCTAGAACTATTCATCGATCCAGAGACAACATTTTTAAAACTTTTATACAGATAATTTCCGTGCTATAATAGCATGGTATTTCATATATACTGAGTGAATGATCTTCCAAATACGCTAACTACAAAAGTGAAAGTGGTATATACAGCGATAATACTTTCATTAAAGACATTAAAAGTATTGTTAATAAACCAACAAATCTAGTTGTTCTTTGGTTATACGACAACTAGTTATAGAACGGTCCGGTTATATTACTGACAAAATCTCAGTTTCTCAATGTATATATTAATATCGTGTGGCTGTGGCATAGACAAAGGGCCTAAATGAAAATATTTCACCTTTCTACATTTTTTATTTCCCGGTTCAGGAGATGTTGTATTGTTTTTTCTTGACTGATCGCTCTTGCGTTTCTCCCGAGTCATCATTTTTGCTTCGTTCGCCAATAGTTGCTTTAATAAAAATATCTAGACAACGTGGAATAAAATGTAACGAAATTGAACAATAGAACCATGGATAATAAAATCACTGGATAGGAAACTTTAGTCACGTGGGGTGCTTAGGAACATTTTGATTGGTCGAGACGCGTTTTTGATGTTTTTAAAATTTCTTGTGCTATTTATAAACTTTAAGATAAACCCATTTATAATTTTATAAAAATCAATCACAGAAGTTGTTTTAATATTCCAAGAAGACCTGATCAACTTGACGCGACTTGAGGCAAGCAGCAAGCTATATCGTGCGTGACGTTACGATTTTCAACAAGGTTAAAATGCTGACGCCATGAGTTTATAGAACGTAGAACAATTATATAGTTGAATATTTATACAATCAGAACTCGTTCAAGTCTCAACACCAACCTCGCAAGCCAGGCTCTTTTACCTACGCTCCACGGCCCACGCTGCGGCAAAGACCCTGGTCAAGGCTGGTCACGTGATTCTTTTGTTAAGCTTCTCCCGTGTGGGGATGGGTGGGACACAAGTAGCGCATAGATCACATCAGTTAAAACAGCGTGTTTCTAAGGACTGAATATTGAGCGCTGTTGTACCGCAAAGCGAAATAACCTGTGTCGTTATTGTTATTTGACCTCTAAATTCGCTCATCAACGCCCAAATTTAGAAGATAGCACAGGCCTTCGAGTGTCTGTATTGAATATCAACTGAACTTGTGACGATACTAAAACCGATTCTATCGACGATGATACAGTCTACACATTGCACTTGAATCTAAATTCGGTTTATTGCTCTTTTTAGTTTTTTGCTGCGCCACACTAGCTGTATTTATTTAGTTTATTGCGTGAACCGCTATTTTTAGTTGCGTTAGTACAAAGTCATCTGGATTGTGACAAGTGCTAAAAATAGCAGAAATGGTATATCGACTTTGCCACTCCTCCCATGGATATGAACTAAGCGCTAATTAAAAACCTCCCATATTTTGGGAGGTCACATGACCAGCCTTGACCAGGGTCTTTGCCGCAGCGTGGGCCGTGGAGCGTAGGTAAAAGAGCCTGGCTTGCGAGGTTGGTCTCAACACGTGGAAGTCTCGCGTGTATAAATCCACATAAGAAGACGTCATTCGTTCGTGTGGAAATCCTTTTAAAGAATTATCCTTAAAGAAAAGAACTTTTAAAAAGGCTCAATGTTTGGGGCCACAATTACACAGTATGCTGCTTAAAAATACGCATCCTTAATAACTTCAGTAAAATAAAAAGCAAACCAAGTGCTAAAAGTGGTATGTGCACTAAATAATCCGAGAAATATTAGTTATCATGAAAAGGAAATCTTGCGTAAACGTCGGGAATGGTCTATTCTTGGAATGGAATTCTCGATCTTGGTCGTCTTGTTGCTGTTGGGTTGTGTTAAAATGTTGGAATTCTGACTACAATATTTCTTAATTCATGTTGTTTATATTGTTATATATCGTTTGAATGGCAATGGACGTTGATAACGAAGTAGACCAAGATTTCTTAACAAGGTTTAACGCGCTAGGAACGACAGATCGAGATATTTTGATAACAGAATTACAAAGACTGTTGAATTTCCAGCTCAGTCACGCAGGATGTATTTTCTTTCTAGACATGACAAATTGGTAAATATTTGTGTAAAATTGATTTTTGAAGAGTGATGCGGTTGTTTAAGCATGTAGAGCATTGTAAAGTGTTGTCACTGTTGTAAACTCATAAACTAAACTGTTAACTTTCTCTTGCAGGAACTTGCAGGTATGTAAAATTTGATGTTACAGTAGGTATAGTCGAGAGTATAGTTAAATATAATAATGTTATACACAAGCGTTAATATAAACTATGAAGTGCGTAGTAAATTTGTGCCATGTTTGGTGCAGTGCTTCAAAAAACTAACTCCACTTACGTAAAGCAGATCACTAGCCAAAGTGCCAGACTGCATGTGGCAATTGATACCCAAAATTTATAACATTTTACCCAAGATTTTAAATCAATTTTAAACTAATCTGTCCATGCATTTCTATTGCATTTAATAACACTCTCCTTACAACAGCCTTCAGAAATGCCAGCAATGGTGCAACTGATTTAAATATTGTATAGATAGTATTCCTGTATGCATGTGGTTGTATTGATTGAAACTCACTAAATGTGGAGTGTATGTCTGGCAGTTAATACTCATGCAATAGCATAGTTTGGTAATCATTCCTCACATGGTAATTATGTGATCTGAAAACTAATGAGTCTACATTTTAAAAGTACCTGGCAAAATGAATTTGTTACAATCTAATAAATAATTTGACCTAACAACCTGCTAATGCTGTTACAGTGATATATAGCTCTGCTATAATTAAGCATCTCTAGTTTGCAGCCATTGTCTGATTAACATTAACAGTTATCAGCAAGGACAAAACTTAACTTCACTTGCTCACAGCTAGCTAATTAGACAGCGTACAGTCATTTTGTTTCAAATGGTGTTAAGTGTTTCTACTATTATTAATGTATCAATGAAAAATTAAACGATGTTGATCAGCCAACTCATTGGTATGCAGCAGCAGTGTGATCATTGCAACCGGGCTACTGTGTACCTACATACAGACATCAGAGCAATTGGCTTTGTTTGCATTCCACTTTCTTAGTTTTTCTTAATCTAAACCTCACCATAGAGTGTATATATATATATATATATATATATATATATATATATATATATATATATATATGTATATGTATATATATATATATATATATATATATATATATATATATATATATCTATATAGTGTATATATACAATACACCATAGAGTGTATAGTGTATATATACAATAAATAAATATTAGCTGTTTATCTTTTGAAATTAAGGCCAATAAAGAATTAATTTGTACATGCACACAGACTTTTTGAAATTTTAACCTGTTCATTTGTCCTGCTATTTACATGTACAAATCTCACTATAGCTCAGTGGCAGCTTACTCCATAGCTCAGTGGTTTGAGAGCATGAATCAGCAATGCATGGGATGTAGATCCCTGCTTGATGGCCACCTTTAGAACCACCTTAAATGAGATGAATTTCAAGTTTTACTCTCATAAGCTATGTGAGGTCAAAAGAAAATCTCTTTCATGCATGTTGAGAAGGATGTTTTGCATCTTTGCATGTGGCTTGTGAGAGTAAAACTTGAAATCCAGTGGTTCTAAATTTAAATTTGTGACATACAATTATTGAAAGGGTTGATTGAGATTTTCCAAATTGCGTAGCGTTAAGTTTTCAAAGTGTATAAATATTACACTGGTTTTTCTACCACCTGGAAACCCTCTGTGAAGGTTACACCAGATTGTTTCTTCTTGATCATTTTTAGGCAGCAGTTGGTGCTTATTATGACTTCAATAGTTCTCAGACAGTTGAAAAGTTGCCAAACATGGAATTCATGCAAGATATAACAATTGGTGAAGGAGAAGCTGTCCCACCAAATACAAAATTTATTAAAACCTGGAGATTAAAGAATAACGGTAAACAACTTTTGAAATGAATTTAGTTTCATGTTGTGAATTGTAGTTGTTACGCGCATCATATATAAATGTTAATTTTGCACAGAATAGATATTAAATTATTATTATATTATTGTGGGATTATACTGTAGTAATACTGTAATTCCACAGCTTAATTATACACTTTTCCTCTAACAAGTAAATCATCAAGAATTAATATTCTTGTAAGTTTCCACGGTGGCACAAGTAAATTTACTTGTACAGTAGGTACACCTCGTAAGTACATGTATTTAATACTGCTAAGCTTTTGGTCCGTTAACCCGGAACGTCATCAATGCAGTATTAAATACCTAAGGGAGTTACCTACAAGCTAATTTACAGTATATTCATCAAAACAAGAATTAGATGAACCAAAAAACTAAAGTTAATCCATATACTGTACCGGTAATCTTATTTACAGTACCGCTATATTTTTTGGGGAGTCTGACATTCTTTAGTGTCTTTACGTTGTTGAAAAAATCTATTACTTTAAGGCGTATTACGTGAAAGTACACGAGTATGGTCGTAAACAATTTCAGGCAGTGGACAAATGTCCACCTTACGTGTGATGAAAACTGCGTAGCAGATTGTGGTTGGGGCTTTCTCCTCGGAGAATTTTAGACTTTCAGACTCTTGGAAACCCCAAACCATGCAAGGGTGGCTGGTAACTGGTTGCATTTACAAATAATGAAGTAGGTTTTCAGAATACAATGTCTGAATGCGAGAAGCCAAAGTATAGATTCGTAATTAACGGGATATATTTATGCTATTGAAATGAAACAGCACAAAACGGGACCTTTAAATGATTTTGATATAGCTGCACGCGCATTCTTCACTTCAAAGATCGTTTAAGGATATTTTGCAGAATGAACTGTCAGTGGTAAACCAATTTCCCATGTAGTATGCATGATGAAAAGATTATTATGCTTTAATAAAGTTATAGAAGGAGGCCGTTGTAATATTTTATCTACAGTATGATCCCCACATGTTACGCCGTCGTATTTATAACCTTCACGCTCGCATGCTGGGTGGTTAGAAATGTACACTTTATAAGCAAGACGAAGGCTGGTGAAACGTCGAAGATGCATTTCTTTGGTCCTTTCATTGTTTCAATGCTTAAAATTTAGAATTTATTTGGGAACTGCGTCTTACAGATTTCCTCGGTGTTTGTTAGGGTAACTACTAATGTAATTTCGTAAACTACAGTATTAACTACAGTATACATGCAGGGGTGAAGTTTTTTAGTTCTAAACGTCTCCTGGACGTTTCACTGCTGCCCCTCCTTCATTGAACTAGAGTCGAGTAAAGTCTTACTACAGTCTATTTGGAGATCACTGCCATCCCTTAAATCAGAGGGCAGAAGATTGACAATTATTTGCAAATTCGTTTACCTGAGGAATGTGAGCATTACCATGCAGTTGTCGACGAATCTCGCTGACACTGTCGCTGCTGTAAAATACGCAGCCATACATTAGCAAAATGTTCCCCACAAGGATTACATTGACTCTTTCAACATTGAAGCAGATGAAGTTACCATGAATTTTCCCAACGTTTTTATCTCAGTAATCATGTTATTGTAAATTAAACACTAAACATGCACATGATTTCAGGGACATTGCCGAAATAAATGTCACTTTATAACCTTGAAAGTTTAGCCGAAGTCCCTTAGGGTTCTCCCTCGGGGCTGTTGCTAAATCTTCCTTGGCTTTGCGGGACTTTTATTTTAACCAATTACCCCTAAAGCATAATTATGTTTACTTACACACGTACTGTATAATAATTTATCAGTATTTAATAAATGTGATTCTTTTTCTTGCATGTTTCTAACAGGAGTTGAAATGTGGCCTCCAGGAGTTTTCCTAAAGTTCACTTACGGGGATCAACTTGGACCGATCACATTTGTGTCAGTTCACGCAGTTGAACCAACGAAATCTACTGATGTCAGTGTTGAAATGATCTCACCATCAAGCAACGGCATTTACCAAGCACAATGGAGAATGTGTACATCCATGGGTCAATATTTTGGGGGTGAGTTTTGAAATAGGAAAATGCTAAAGAAGAAACAGCATCTTGTATTTGAATAACATATACTGTAGGCTTTTATTAGCGATATATTACTAAAATGCGATATTTTCTCGTTTGCTTGGTCATCACCAAGAAATTCGGATTCCGGTCTTTTCGTGCAAATCTCGCCTTACGAGCTCGATCGGTCAATACACAAAGACCTCGGTTTGCATAAGCAGACTTCTGTAAATAATGCCTGGCTTCCCTTTAGTCGTAAGTGTCGATAAAGGATTTCTATGTGTACGCAGTTAATAATGACCGATTTGAGTGGTGAAAGACAAATTTGCATCCGGACGACATACTTCTCATCAAGACATTTATACATACGACTGAATGGAAAACCAAGCTTAATACTGCATGCATGGCAACGTCACTACTGTACAACTGGCTGTTTCTATTGAGCCTATTTATATTTTTAGCTTTTTTATTGATCTTATCTATATTTTATTTATATATGTTCTTTGTTCTGTACGCTGAGATGTATTTCTACTTTGCTTTTAGATATAATTTGGGTAATAATTAGTGTTAACGAGAGTGGTTTGTTACGGGTAACGCAGCAGTTTTCAGAGTTAGGACATGAATCAAGACTATCTCCCGTCAAGCCAAATGATCAACATAATGAACAAACACCATCTGGATTCAATCCATTTTCATCATCTGATACTCCAACTGTCCCATTTAACAGTCCAGTTAAAGCCACAGAAAACGAGGTAAAATCTAGAATATTTGTTTTCGATTTGAGTATACTGACCGCTTACAGTAGAAGGGGCTGGATTGAACTAGCATCTCAGTCATGATGCGCAAGTGCCGTTTGGTCCAGCCAGCAACATTGCAATGTCACTCACTCGATACGTAAAATAATTGCTCGCATAATTCGCGTATACATGCCCATACAGGTCAGTTATTCTCGTAGTCTCCGTGTCCATCGACAATTTTCAACACAAGAAAAACATTCCATCATGCTTGCATGACCAGTATACATGCACAATTACGCAAACACAAGCTTCCTGATCTGTCGTTTGTATATCTATATCTTTCCTAAATATCATTACTGATGAAGTTGCTGTATCTTCAGGAGAAATTTCTAGAAGTCCAGTTTCCTTTCGGCCGAAATTTATGTTTATTTATGTATTTACTAACTTCATCACGTCTAAATGTTGTACGCAAATTTCCATGTATAAATTATATGTACTATACATCAAGCTGCATTGCTGTACTCAAAAACCTACATGTAATCAGAAGAGAGTAAGCATCCATGATGTATACATCTATTCCATCGTAATAGCCTAAGTGCATGAACCAATATTAGCGCGCGAAGGAGCTTTATACTGTATAATTAACAGCACTTTTGTTTCTTTTGTCGTGTACCATAATTTTTATCCATTCCCGCCCATATAGAGGCATGTCATTCATGTCTATTATTTCTATATTCCTGCCGTACGCAAACGAACTATTTCTAGGAAAAGGGGTTTTGTTTTTAAATGTCGAAGCTTTTACTATATTTCCAATGAAAGGCATTCAGTCAGTATTCAATATATTTTAATATAATGACAGAGACGAAAAAAAAGAGCAAGCATGCAAATGTGGTAGAGTATAAAAAATAGCGTGCATGTTCTCGTGCATGTTATTATTATATGGTATACCTTGACTTTTGTAGCCCCAAGCAGTGCCTAAAACCATTGTGTATACACACAGCGCTGTTACTATTCGATCTATAATGATTTATATGGAGGTGTATATTTTAGAATAGCCGTAATAACCAAATATCAAAAGAAGATCAATGATGATCAATCATTATTCGTTCCTCGACCTTATGTCCCGTGGAAGATAAACTAAATCAGGATTCAAACGAATATCTCCAACCCTTCTCTGACCGCTCGTCCGTAGTCTAGACGGAATATTGGCTGTGCCAAAAATCCTAGAACTATGGTAAAATTACCTAGAATATATTCATTCCAAAGTTTGAATGAATCTATAGTTAATACGTTTCAGTTCCTGATAATGAGTGCAAGTACCGGGGTACTTCCGGTTGTACGAAGACAGTTTGTAAACCGTGCATGGATTAGTGAAATCAATAATTACGGTACTCTAATGCCTCTCGTTAATGTTATATAAAGTATGTACTATAAGTATATCTAGTCGCATTATTTAGTCCATCAGGTCATGCCAACATTTAGGGCTGCTTTCCACTGTCGCGTTTTTTGCACATACATATACAGTGGCGTACGGGGAGCGATAATTGGGTGGGGGGTACAAATTCATATTATCTCTCACATTATGTCTGTCAACATGAATATATAAGAATACGTGCCCCCCCCTCCCCAATTATCGTCTCCCGTACGCCACTGTACACATACACGCACCAACCCTATGCATCTATTCAATCGTTGATTTCATAAGTATCATTAAAATGATTTTAAACTTTCACGTGCGTATACGTAGGAACAAAAAACGCGACAATGGAAGGCAGCCCTTGCGCAAAACAGGGTGAGTCAAGAGAAACGTGAAATCGAATTAAACATTAGTGTTTTTCGTCTTTCCCTATGGGTGTTAAAATGCTTTCCAAAAATGCACAAATTTGCATGGAAGCTTGGCATTTTACTTGGTGGGAACACATAATGGTTTAAATGTTGCGGATCCTCGTGTCCCGTCATGATTGAAAAGAAAATCAGCCGCTGTTGACACAAGAGAATTGTCAAATAAGGCCAGCCATAAGTTCGCAGCAAATTTGAATATTAGAGCCATCAGTTTTTCTGGACTCATTCTGCACCCTTGTCAACTTTGCTAACTTATATTTGAAATAATTCCCCGTTTAGCAGTGTCACATGCATGGCTTCTTATAACCAGCCCTGATAAATACGAATAAAATAAAATTTAATATATTTCTATCACTGCTGTTCATAAAACGTTGTTAGTCACCTGAAAATTTTATTGTCCCCTTATTTTTCGATTATTGTCAGTCGTGTGCAGTGATTCCATCCATCACATGTACGCTTGTTGCATTTCCTATTAGGAGGTTACTATACATGTACGCCATCGACAGTGACTATAGATGACATTGGACGCTTCCCCTATGGGGCCGCGGAGAGGAGGGGGGGAGGGGGCAGGGGAAGCATTTTGCCCCGGGCCCCCAACCTGAAGGCGCGCCTGACTTAAGAAAGAACCTAAAACTAAAGCAAATGACGTTTTTGACTTCACAAACGGCATGAATAACGTGAAAAGACTGGGTCAAGGATTGTGATTGGTGGAAAACAAAAACTTTACTTCCGGTTAACGTACGTGTTGTCAAAAACGTCACCTGCTTAAGCTCACTAATTTCTATAAGATACGTTGATATTGTTTGTAAAAAAGTTTTTTTGTTAAACTTTTTCACATCGCTTTGAAGTACTTTATGCCTCGCAGATATTTAAAACCATGACGTCATAGGGCCGCCGAAAAAATTTTTGCTTCGGGCCCCACAATTTCTCTCGGCGCCCCTGTCCCTGTGCTTTAAGCCCGTTTTCCACAAGGCGAATTTATTCGCGCGACTCGAAGCGATATCTGAAATCCAGTGATGTGATTGGTTTGCGAAAAATTTCGCCACGAAAAAATAGAATCGCTTCCTACTTTTTATCTGTTCGCGGGAAAAAAGTCGCCCAGTAGAAAACGGGCTTTACTCGCATTTCTACAATTAACGCCGGCCACGCTGTTCACTCACTCCCTAATATCGCCGCTCATTCGAGTTATGAAGCACTTGAGGAGGAGGTTGGGGCGCATATATTTATAAGGAAAGAGATTTAAAAATGCCACTACGGCTATAGAAGGATAAATTAGTAATAATGCAAAGCTTGGTTACAAAATCATTGAAAAATGAGAACACTGCAGATATCAAATACTGAAATTAAAAAAATATTAAGATTATAAATAAAATATTAGCGATGGAACATTATTTTATTACCCAAGTACTGTAATTTCTGCGCTGACATAAGTCGACTTTAAGTCCTTCTTTATGCCACTTTCCCTGAGCTATCGCCTGACACGTTAGACACCATCTATCAAATTTTCCATCCAATAATTACCGATAATCGTACCACTTATGTCACCCAGCCCTTTAGTTTTCCATTCCAAATACTTGTTATACTCTGTTTCATTGTTCATCAGAAATTTTAGGTGTTCAGCCAGAGCGGCTGGATTTTTGAAATCCCTGACATTAACGATGGAATTTCTAAGATTTCCTGGTAAAAATTCATAAATCTTGTCCGTACTCATTACAATAGGTACAGCACCTGCATTTAGGGCATGCAAAATTTGATCATCGACGAAATAATCGCAATCTTGGTTAAAGAATGTTATCGCAAATTTATAGGTCTTCTGTAAGAGCAACTTTTTCTTTTTAAAGTCAGTTTCGTAACGGTTAATTAGTCCTTTTTTATTTCGTAAACATCGACCATACGAATCTATTTTAATGAACTTCATCAGTTGTCCAAGATACTTGGTTCGAACCGGCTCACAGTTTGAAAATGCAGCGATTATGCCTCCCGTTTTGTTTTTAAATGGTAACGGAAGGTCCAAACTTGGCTTGGTAAAAAGAGGAATGGGAAAATCTGAATCAAGTCTGTAGCTTTGTAACAAATGGAACTGTGACATGTATTTTGGGTTTTTTAAAACCGGTGTGTACACAGGGTTTTCCCGTGTCATAAGAACCCAAGGTATGTCTTTATTTGGAGGTAGGGGGTGCGGGTCACGTGCATGAACTAGAAATGAATCTGCATCCTTGACCCTGTTCCGGTCAGACGTCACTTCACAGGCAACTGGACATTTCCCTCTGTCGTTTCCCTTCTGTATTTCTATGGCTTTTTTGGCGGGCTTGCCCCATAATTTAGACCAGAATAGAAGAACGATTTTTTCATCAACAGCGTGAGGTATTGGAGCCACGTTTTTAAATGTGTCGTTCGATGAAATGGTCACGACCAAAACCAAGACCATACCAGTGACGAGGATTGATAAGGCGACAAACAAAATTATTTGTTTCCTCGTTTCGATATGATAACACATCTTCTCAAATAAAACGTGGGATAGGCTGTTGCGATAGAATTCAACCTGTTGCAAGTTCTATAGATTCTATAGAAATTTGTTGTTATAATTTCTCAATGTCGTGGCCTATAGGTAGCCCAAAGGTATTTGTGTTTTAATGTAAAGCGTCCATCCAGTTTAATATTGCGGTCTGTGACGTAAACACCAATTGCTATATTTGTATTATAATAAGATAAGGTTGGCAACTAAATATAAATTATATTTCAGAACAGTCGTCTCGATATAACAATGTAATACCACTTTATTTCACTCAAAATAGCGAAATAAAATGGCAACAAATATAAATTAACCACGTACAGCCTCAAAACTATCGACAAAAACATTGAAAATATGAAAAATATATCACAAAAAACATCATAACAATAAATTTTGATGTTTTTAATTGCTCCCCAGTACATTTTCTTGTTGAAAACAACTCTAGAAATACGAAAAATTTAGCGATACTTTTCGTGTTGCCATGAATTTTTTCGCCGTAACGATGCGGGATGTCTTTTGCCTAGCACTGGTTTTCGATTCAAATGGCGAAGCAGCGACCTCATTGGCTCTTAAAATTGGCGAATAATTAAATTGGTGTTCGCCAATTTTATGAGCCAAAAGACATCCCGCATCGTTACGGCGAAAAAATGTACGTACAACACGAAAAGTATCGCTAAATTTTTCGTATTTCTAGAGTTGTTTTCAACAAGAAAATGTACTGGGGAGCAATTAAAAACATCAAATTTTATTGTTATGATGTTTTTTGTGATATATTTTTCATATTTTCAATGTTTTTTGTAGATAGTTTTGAGGCTGTACGTGGTTAATTTATATTTAGTTTCCAACCTTATCTTATTATAATACAAATATAGCAATTGGTGTTTACGTCACAGACCGCGATATTAAACTGGATGGACGCTTTAGATTAAAACACAAATACCTTTGGGCTACCTAGGGTCGTGGTGGTAATAATTAAAAGGCGGTTAACGCTAATCTTAGGATTAAAAGCCTTAGGGTGAGTAAAAAAAAACTGACACCTTTGAAATTCAAATTAGCCGCAAACTTATGGCTGGAATTTGACAATTCGACACAATTTGACATTGTGTACAATCAACAAGACGTGGTTAATTAATGCGAAAGTGTTTAAACCAATTGAACTAATTCAACGTTCTTTTTTATTACAGAGCTTAGAATGCATTTTAACTCCCAAAGGAAACAAACTTTATGTTCAAGGTTAATTAATGGGTTCACTTATTTGATATGCTTCGTATACCCATGAGATATTTTAGGCAATTTCTGTCACATTACAACCGATTGCAGACACATTGCAGCTAATTTGAATTTCAAAGGTGTCAGTTTTTTTTACTCAGGCACCCTGTACAAATTTTTTCATAATTTTGGTTTGCTAACAATACAATAGAACAATGAAACAATAGAATACGCCGATCGAACTCTTTTGTTTGCGCGGAGTAAAACCAATAAAACTTTTTGTTTAATTCTCGTATATTATATTTTTTGAAAAAAAATATTCAGGATCGCTTAGAGATAGCTACATTTAAATTTCAGTTGAATGCAAATTCATTTGAATACAAATTTTAGTTGAATACAAAGTAAATTCCCAGCCGATTTCTTTAACTTTTAGCCTATAACAATATTCCAGGGTTCTTGACTGTGAAACAGTCAAATTCTAAGGTGCTGATTGAATGTTTTACCAGGAATACATGCATGCAGCAAACCCTCTTGCCAGTTCAAACCAAGTATACAAAATTCTCTGAGCTAATCGGCTGACCTAAATGATCTAAACTTAAATAGTTATAATGCAAAGACTCAGGTGTGTATATTAAATGTATATGTGATGTTGCTACTCTGAGTCACCAACCGGGCAAGCTGAAAAATTAGCTTGACGACGGTGGGAATCGAACCCGCGACCTTTGGTTTGCTAGTCCAATGCTTTTCCAATACCTTGTAGCTCAGTTGGAAGAGCATTGGACTAGCAAACCAAAGGTCGCGGGTTCGATTCCCACCGTGGTCAAGCTAATTTTTCAGCTTGCCCGGTTGGTGACTCAGAGTAGCAACATCACATATACATTTAATAAACTTAAATAATTATGAAATGACTCAAAAGTCTTTATCGAGTATATTTAATATAGCTAAGTGTTTCCATCATTCAGTACAAAATAATCGTAAAGCTAGTGTAAACATTGTCATTGGCCGTTCAATTTTTGCCGCATTATATGTTATGGCAGCAATTAAGTATAAAATAAAGCTTCACACCTTCAAGACAGTACACAATTTCAGAGACAAAGAAAAAGCCCTAACTGTTATTACTCGGACTACCGTAGGTAGACCGAGTTGTAAAATGGGCTCGGTTTTTTCTTTTGCGTCGGGAGTTTAATGTGCCCCAGTTCAAAATGGCTGACACGTCGATTAAGAGCTCTAACAACGAATTTGATGTGGATAACAACGAAAATAAAGAGCCTAATGCGATAATTAACGCCACCAAACATCTAACAGTTAACCACAAAGGCAAATTTAGCTGGCATGGTTCGTTTGAAAGCCTTCAAGCTTTCATCAGTAAAGTTACTGAGACAGAGACAAGATGGACCCTGCCCGGTGGCTCGTGCAAAATGCTTGAATTGAACGAGGCGGTGATCAGATGGTATGCCGATAGCAAATCACTGATAATTAAAGGGAAATCTAGCGACAAGATTATTACACAGCTTCGCATAATCGCAAATTTAGCTCAGACCAACAACGAGGAGATAAATATCATCGAAAAAGCAAACAACTCTGACGACACTTTGGTCGATAACACTAACAGTAGCGGGGGCGAGACCATAAATGGTCCGGCCGGCAGATGACAAATTAGAAAAACTAAGTGTCGCCGTACACGAACTTGAAGCAAAATTCGAACGAAAGATGAGTCAACTTGCATGCGAAATAAATGAGACAAGAATCGACTTATTTAACGAAAAAATGATCAGAGGAGAGAACGAAACCTTGAATAAATTAACGAACAATGAACAATCATCGGTTCTAAAAGGGTTACTCGCGAAACAAAACGAGAATTTGAAGAAAGAAAACGACAAACTTAAAGAACAGATCGATAATTATAAATGCGTTATGTCTGATCTTAACCAAAAAGTGAAAGACCTAGAAAACGAAAAAAGCAGCTTAGTCACAGTCATTAAAATTCTACAAAACGAGCAAGAACAACAT